CCTCCTTTGTAGTTTCATCCTTCAGTTTCCGAGTGTTGTACTTGAATTGAGGTCTATCACCAGCTTCCTTGAAGGCTTTTAACTTGATTTGGAAGGTTCCTTGCACTAGATAGTGGTGTGAACCTACATCTGCTCCTCTTCTTCACCTTGTGTCAAGTAGACTGCGTCTCCATTTTCTTGAGATAAAGTCGATTTGATTTTTAGTGTGTCCTGGTGTCTGGTGAAATCCATGTCGCTTTGTGGATATCTTTGTGCCTGAACACATTGCCTCCAATCACCAAATCGCTGAATGCGCAGAATTCTGCAAACAATTCTCCATTCTCATTCATTTCACCTAGCGCTTCTCGACCCATGGTTAGTTCTCTTCCCGTGTTGTCCCCTCCCAGTTTGGCATTCATGTCGCCCATCAGAATTTTGATATCGCCAACTTGAGTGGTGTCTTGTCCAGTGTTGATTGAAGTTGTCTGTAAAAATCCTCCTTTTCTCTTGCTCTGCATTATTTGTAGGTGCATAACATTGTATGATTGTGACCTTCCTTCCTTTTGAGTTGAATCTTGCTGTCATGATCCTGGAGGAGATTTGTTCCCACTGCATGAGAGCCTTCGATGCTCTTGAGGACATCATGATAGCCACTCCATAACTCAGTGTGCTCTTGTGGTTGTCGTCTGGGTGACAATATCGGAGTAGATTATTGACTCTCCAGTTGACAGTTTGGAGAGTCCACTTCCATTCCATCTGCTTTCGCAAATCCCAAGCACTTCGATGTGATACCTTCTCATCTCCTTTGCAATCTGGTCTGCCTTACTGGGTTCAAACATCGTACGGACATTCCACGTCCCCACGTTTACTTTCGCTTTCATCGAGGGAGAGAAGACACATCGGCCAATTGGCTTCCCGAAGGCAGGCTTTCACCAACTGGCGTCATTTCGCCTCTCCGATTCCAGCGGGGAATAAGTTTGTTTTCATTTTTTATATTTTGTTTTTGTTCTTTGAAGTTTCTTTAGCGGTTAGATTTGTTTTAAGGGGTAGGGTTGCTAGCCCTATGCCCAACCTTCCTTCTTTACCCGGGCTTAGGACCGGCTAGTAACTAGTAAACTAGTTAACCAGGCGAGGTTGATTATTCGTTAGAGAATAACCACTTTTAGGTCTAGTCATGAGCGGTGACCTAATTTTCCTGATCACGATGACAGCTTAATCTTCAAGCTAGATATGTACGTCAATGTTCAGTGTTTGAAGGCAATCTTTAAGGTGTCTCGCATGTAATAGGTTGTGTTCACTGGCACTCATCGCGGAGTACCGGTAAACTCCAGGTAGTGGGTACTGGACTCATGACTAAGAGGCAAGTACGCCAGAAGTAGGAACAGTCAGTCACGCATGATACTGAGTCACAGGCATTCTATACCGTAAGATAACAGCATATTTTACAATCAACATTCAGAAGTATCCAACATGTAGATTATTTTCCTTATGACCTCATATCGACCAGATGACAGTTTGAACTTAGAAATTATCGAACATTATTTTATCCAGGGGTTGTCGGGAAACTTAATAACCACAAGGTATCACTCAGTGAGCCACAACCACTTCGTGAAGTCTTGTAGGCTATCTGTGTACTTAAACTATAGTATGCGGAAAATTCACATTCAATCCACTGTTTAAGCACATCGACTAAGACATTCAGCCACAGCTTCATCCACACCAATCAACCTCAGGATTGTCAATATGTCAACTAAATACTGATTTCCCTTTGGTTCCCTTCATATTCACAAAAAACGACTGCACTTACACTCAAGCTAAAACTTCTTAATGAATCTATAGAAATGTGTTGGATGAATAATTATCTGCATTGACAACTGATTTTAAGCTGGCACACTGGATAATCTACAGGTTGCTACCACCAGCATTGCTAGTGAAGATATAGTACTGGAATCGAGTTGGGTACTCTGAAAGGTGACATGTAGGTTGACATACAGTCTCAGTACTTGGAATCAGAAAGTGGTCGTCAAACGTAGAAGACAAGAAGCGGTTGCAAGGTTTTGATTATGGGTGTCTTCGTAGTATTGCTCGCGTTTGGTGGAATCACCGTGTGAGTAATGTTGAGGTCAGACGAAGGCCATTAGGTAAGCAATTCGACTGATAAGATTGTGAACTTTAGTCGACTGAAATGGCTTGAATATGTACTGCGCACGCCCAGCCACTGCCTACTTCGATATGATATACTAGGGGAATCTGTACTAGTTTGGAAGGTTTAGGATGGCCAGATCAAGACCAGGCACCAATCGAATTTTCTTACTGTTGATTTGAGTCGTGTTGAGAGACGTAGACTGCCTGTTTGGGGTCCTAGAGACGACAGGAATCAGTGGTTGAGGACTCTTGGTGACGTGGCTGGAAATCGGTCACAATGAGGCAGATGTATTCACTCCTTAACATCTTCTAAAGCTTGAATGTTCAAACTAAACCTTTATGTTCAAATTGATTATTCTCTCACACTAATTTATCTACTTTAATATCACTCTTTTTCTATCCACCTGTTCTACGCACACTATTGTGAATTGTGGCAACTTGAGTCAATGGACCTGTGAGCGAGGTTCTACGTTGATTTTGTCAGTTGGTCAGAAGCGAAAAGTCTGGATATTCACCTGCCAAGGAATTGTGGGATGATAAAGACTGCTTCGTCTACTGATTTTATTTCTTTATAGACAGATACATGAAGACAGGACCATTGGAAAAACTGTTACCACGTTCTCCTCTCACAGTTAATTAACGACATGTGTACAAAAATAAGACACATCTTGTATCTAGAGTAGCCATGCACATTTTAACCATAACCTTTGCGGAAGGAGGGTATCAAGCTCATTTACCAGTTCTCATCAATTATCTAGTGACTCAGTAATAGGCAATAACAGGTTCATAACTATTTGATTACGGATACATAAGTAAAAACTTATTATGCTGAACACAGAAGTTTGTTAGTCACGTGTAGCACCTTATTTTGCTACTTCACTTGGCTATCATTGCAACGATCATTAGGCCTTGGAAGACATAGTTATCACATAAACTACATCACGAAACAGTCCCCCCCCCATTTTTTGAGATAGACAGTATCTATGCCCCTTAGTGGGAGACCAACTGCAGGTACTTAACGTTCATCTACATAATAGTTGGGACAGCAATTCCTTTATGCATGAAACACTTGATTAAGTGCAATGTTACACCTCACGTAGATGTATTGGTCCGTGGCTTGAAGGAAACCAATAGTGACACTCACGATATACCAACATTCTCCTAAGACCATTTCAAGAAGTACATTTTCGAATCAAATGACGTTGCTTCACTACGTCTGCATACTATTGCTCGACAAACTAGAAGTTTATAATCAAATCAGTGAATTTGTCGGTATTAGGAGAAATCGACTATATATCAATGGTGTACACGACCTGCGAAATCATCAATATAAACGTTTGGTATCCAAGATTACAGTAAAGCCATTTGGGTAGGTAATAGTGAAGAATCAAACTATTTTCAGCTTGGATGAGTAATACAGCCGTTAAAACTTCAAGCGGTTTCGTCGCGATTCGTTGGTCTATTGTGATGGTAAGTGTAATAGATTGCGAAAATCCCTTGAAGGAGCAATTTCAGTGCTTACGCAAGGACTGGAAAATAGTGGCCACGCTATTCATCTGAGATAGGTATTTCGAGTCAGTAGAACAGTTTGTGACAAAGCCGTGTCAACCAAAAAATTCCAATCAGTTTAAATATTGGATGAAACACATCGAAAGACAACCTAGTAGCCCTATGACACCAGCAACATCAACTTCAGTGCACTATGCTGCATGGTCATCCGATGTCAACTTGTAATAAATACGCGCTGGCTAGGGTAATTCAAGCACTAAGATATCACACACTGTCCATTTAGACAACTTACTTTTGGCTATTTTCAGGAATGGAGGAATAGTACAATCATGAAACTGACTGGACTATCCAAGAAATTATGATACACCGAGTGTAGAACTACTAAATAGACAATTCGATGTATAACCTTAAGATGTATCGAATCAACTTGCCACACTACAGCAGCATACAAAAATGAGGCAGATGGAGAAAGACTATACTTATCGACTAACAATTTTCCTATCGATCATCAAACCACAGCTGGCTTAAGTACATACGTTTGTGCTTGTAGGCAATAAAAAAGAGATGAGATACTGTGTGTTGCCTCATTTAGACCAGAATTCGACTGAGGCTGGAGTAGAACTATACACTGACTTAAATTTTGCCGACCCTAACCCTCATTGTGGACTCTAAAATAGGCTACAAGTCAAGCTTCGTGTATGATAACTTACGGCATTACGCGGTTGTCCACACGTATGCCTAGTCACACAATGCTGGTCAAAGTAAGTTCAGGCTGGAAAAAGCCTTGAGGCGGCTGATGCAGACTAGGTAGTTAGGGTCCGCAGGACAGGAGAAACCAGTGGTTAGAGACTAGTTGATATAGCTCAGAACCGATGTCAGTGGCGCAGATGTATACATACATTATCCTCATTTTAACGCTATACCGAATCTCACCACTTTCCCATTCTTCCTTTCTCTCTTTTCGTACTTTATATTTCTTTTGACTGAATTTTCTTTTCTCTCGCTTCATTGCCTTGTTATTTGATGTAGTGATATGAGGTGTGGCAACTTGGACCGTAACGCAGTAATACCTGGTCCTATGTTAATTTGGATGGATGACGAAAGATGGACTAAGATTTGAACTAGAGACAGCTTACGTGGTTTGATTTTCAAAAAAAAAAGCTAAACTTTAAGCTAATACCATAGATTCCATATCATTTAGAGCAATGAAAAGGATTTCGCTGTGTTAACACTGTGATATATAATGAAATATATTTGAGGCATTTTCATGAGAATATAATAAACTCAAACATTAAGTTAGCAATTAATCGGTAAGCAAATACAGTAGTTTTTAAAAACATAAAGGATAATGTAGCGCATACATATTTTTATTCGAGTTCATTAAGCATTTCTCGTCGTTTATCTCGATGTACATTTAGTTTTTGTGTACGGGTCTTTGATGCCAGCATATTGGTCATCTTTTTCTGTTCTTTCAAAACCCGACGGTTTGCTCCAGTTTGCTGCGTCAGTAGAGGTAGCCCAAGGTCGAAAAGGTCACGAACTTGCGGGTTTTCACGAAGATGACGTCTTAATCCACTTCCTAATACAGTGCACAAAAAGTCATAATGAAAGTGTGCAGCGCAAGAGGTCAGTGTTAAAACCTCAGTACCAAAGTCTACAGTTGTTTCAGGATAATCAGAATGTGTAACAGCTTCAAGAAGTTCTCGAAACGAATGACGTTGCTTTTTCAGATCACTTTTTGAGCGGTTTTTTGAACTATCTGTTGCTAATTCACTGAGGAGACGAACAAGATCACTGTAATAAGGACCTTTGAATTTATCATCAATTTCGTTTCGAATGCGCTCATAAATAACAGCGGAGGCTTCACCAGCCATTATTCGAACATCAACATTTGAACACTGAAGCAGGGACAGTAAAGCAGGAATTACAGCTTTCCCGACAATTCCTGCATCATATGGTGATAGAAATGTATACATCAGAGTCCACGCTTTCAATGCTGCCACATAAAGATCAGATAAATCTGTTTCAGAAAATGGTATTTTGACGTCAATTTTGGCAGTAGAGCTTTTAAACACAAATTCAAACGATTTCATGACATCTAAAGGTGAAACAAAATCACAGTAGTCTGACAAAGACTGAAGCACTGAAAGAGTTATAGCTGAAGAAGCTCTAAGTTTGCGACCTTTTGTAGTGTCACGTATGATAGGTTCTAAAAGAGGAAAAAACCTTTCAAACCATATAGGAACTTCATGTGGATCAATTTGTAGAGAAAATACGGTGAGCAGGTCAGCAGCTAATACTTGGTCTTGAGGTTTACCTTTCCTGAAAATATTCTCAATGCTGGTTATCAATGTCTCAGTGTAGTTCCAAGATCCATCCAAGCAGAAATAATGCGACCGAAAAGAGTCAATTAGTGAACGCGTTGCCTGAACTCGAGTTTCTGTTCTCTTTTCCTCCATCGAGTCGATTGCTGAGCAAACCTTACTGAGAACTGATTGCAAAGCCATTTCATCTTCAACCTGATAAGGAAAAAGTAGTTAGTGAACTGAATTTACACACATTAGTGAAATTACTGATGATAAGAGCATAATAGCATCAGACTTCATCTGAATTTCTAAAAGGAGTAGAGATTGAATAAGCACTCTAACGGCCACTAATTCAAATGTTATCTGTGAGCATAGCACTTACAGACTCCCACCCAAATGAATTGAGAAACTCAAATTCATGCATCAAGCAAGTCCGATTCACACTGTTTCCAAAATCAGTTAAGTTGTTCTGAGTACACAAACAGGGATTACAATCCAGTCATCACTCTACCTTCTATACGTACCAGCTTACTGAGTAACCTACACGACATTCTCCTATCTACACAAAAAAGTAGCAGTTGGAGGACATCCGCGATAGTAGGCAGGTCATTCGATGAGGTTGTGAACTATCAGCGACTGAGGTGGATTGGACGTGTTGAACATCCTCAGTAACTACCTACCTCGACATACGATGTCAACCGAAATAGGATTAGATTGAAAGACAGCTCATGACAATCAGATCATGAAGTCTGTAGATATTGTTCTGAGCCACTTAAGGTGTAGACAACCTGATTGGGGTCCTTGAGAAGATACAGCTGGGAAACGATCAGAAAGACAAAAAAACAGAACTTGGTATAAAAGTGCATCGCTTTAAGTTACCACACTGCAGAGCAGCATGCAGCGAAAAGATGGGCAGGAAAAAAGATAGCAGGATAAGCAAGGGCACATGCGAGAAAGAATTTGAAAGCTAAAGCTAGTGAAAATGCTCAAGCTTAACACGATATTGAACGGCGAATACACCTAGGCTATTTTGACCAATTTCCGACCACATCACCACATGTTCTCAATCATTGATTGCCACCATCCCAAGGATCTCAAAGAGGTAGCCTACATTTCACATGGATTGGATAAACAGTCGGAGACTTTATGCACAGGGCTACGTCTCGGTCTGGCGACCCTGAACCTTCTTACAAGCGAATCTTACTTCAGATGACATTAAACGTGGAGGTACGCAGTGGCACGGCACCCACCGCACATCAGTAACACCTCACTCATTGACAGTTCATAAATGCCTTGGTATGCGTTCGCAGCCTGTCAGAGAAGTCCTATTCACTGTGGTGTTTTCACAGATGTGAAAGGGCGCAAGTGAATATCCGCCCACAATACCGGATTGGTGAATGCTGAAAGTTCATCTGGGGGAGTTGGAAAAACCTGATTCCAAACCGATGGTGCTCTTGGGTTTCAGGTTCCAGATGGAACGAATGGTGCATGAATCTATTTTTGTCACCGGCAACCACGGGAATGCAGCTCTTGATGTTGCTCCACCGCCTTGCGGATTGGGCTCCAAGTAAAAGGTTTGGGGAGTGGTCCCCTAAGACAACCACCTGCTTCGGTCTGCGCACCCGGGCAGTATCCCAACCATTACACAAAATATGAATTTACAATATAAAATGAAGCTACTAATCAACTTTTTCGCGAATAGTCAAGCTCTTCGCACTACGAAATTCTCACCGATTATTCAATCTATTGTTTTGTTTTTACATATGAACTGTATTTTTTGTTACCATTTTCGCTTTTGTCTTTACTCAGTTGCTTACCATTACTTAGACTTCTGGTCTGTCTGTACCGTTTTGAGTCGCTAAACAGTTGCCCCCATAAGGCTATTCTCTAATGCGACGTGTAATACAGCGATTCTGAAACCACGTATACGGTTTAAACTCGCCACCTTCAGCGTTTGTATCTTCATGGAGATCGGATAACAGGCAAGTTCGGTTAGGGCTCTGGAAAGCCTCGCTGTTGACGTATGTTGCATCTCAGAGACCCATATACAAGATCACAGTGAAGTGCTTCCCTATCTGTCAGCTCAAAGTGTTTCATGTGCGCTTATCCGGGGACCATGTGGCATCAGCAGCCGGTCTAGCACTGAGCGCTCAAGTCGAAGGTGCACTACTCGACTGGACCCCAACCAACAGTGATGTGTGCTATTAGGCTAGCAGATTCAACTCGAGCAAAAAACAACCGGCAAGAATGTCGCTTTGTCATTTCTGCCTAAACTCCAACTGACTGCAAACCGGATGCAACCAAGGATGAATTCTATCACCAACTGAATGACCTCAAACAAATGCCCTTGACAGATATTATGGTGGTGGCTGGGGACTTGAATGAGCGGATCGGGCGTCTAGGCTCAGGGGACAGTCGTTTAAGTGACCAATGAGGACTAGTTGGTCGCAGGTCGAATAATGCGGATCGCCTTTTGCAGCTTTTCACAGATCACAACCTATTTCTAGCCAGCACCAACACCCGGCACAGCCATCGCTTTTGTGCTACTTGGTGTTCTCCCTCTGCCGCTCAAGCCTGGACTCAAATCATATTGCGACAAGCTACCACTGGCGTGGGTGCAAACGGGACTACCGCTTCACATGGAGTACTTATCTGAACTCTGATCATGCTTTAGTGAGCGTTAAGCTCGTCTTGCGTTTTGGTTATTGAGACCGTCGTCCTAAACATGTCGATGCAAGCAAATTGGTCTCACCTAACATTGCAGCTAAATCCCAATCTAGGCTAGAGTGAAGGTTAGCTACCGATCCTCCATAAAGTGTAGACGAGGACTGACTGAACTTGCAAGAAGCCATGAAAATTGCGAATAAAGCCGCTTGCGGTTTGAAAGAACGTCCCTCTAATAATCACTGGGTCTCTGTGAGCTCCCTGCAATTTCTTAACATCCGTCAGATCACTCTGGCGGATAGCTTGTACAGTGGATTACGTAAGTCTACTGCGCGAAAGATTACACAACGCTTACGGAGTGACCGTGAGGCTTGATGGTCACAACGTGCGACTGAGATGGAAACAGCAGCTGCATCTGGAAATAGTGGGAGACTGTTCCAGCTCCAAGCCACTGGCAGCAAGCCTGCTGTCAGTTAGACGGTACGCCGATAAACAATCTCCAAAGACACCTGGGACATTGTGGCAGAGCACTTTGAAAAACAGTTCAGCTGGTCCACGGCTTCAGCACTGTCAACATCAGGGTATCCTACTCCATGGTCAGTTAACAATGACTCGCCTAACAAAGTGGAGGTTCACAAGGAACCCAAAGTTCTGAAAAGCCACAACACGCCCGGTTCGTATATCTTACCCTTGGTTCTTTGTAAAGATGGAGGAACGACTCAAGTCAGGGAATTGAGTAGATTGGGAAAATATGACGGACTGAGTGTCTCATCACTCTGGAACTAAGTCATTGCTGTGCCCATCTTTAAATCTACGTAATGTGTGACAATCATCTGGGTGTTAGTCTGTTACCAGTAGCGTCGAAAATATTAGCTATCATACTTCGCAGACTTTGTAAGACGTGAGGAAATGATTAGCGAGGAGCAGGGGGAATTTCGTTCAAGTCGTGCGAGCATTGATTATGCGCTTACCCTCCATCATATTGTATTGCGGGCCAACAATCGTTGTATTTCTTGACATTAGGGCTGCCTTCGACCTACTGGATAGAGTTTCACTTTGGAATTATTTGTTGGAGAAAGGCGTATCTGAGAAATGTATTAACATCTTGAGAACCCGATAAGATAACATGTCCGGTAGAGTGAGGGCATACAACCACCTATCTCCACTGTTCCAAATCAGCAGTGGAGTTAGGCAGGGTTGACCGAGTTCTCCATCCCTCTAACCTTCCCATCAATGACATTCCTGAGACAGCTCTTAACGTGTGTGATGGTAGTGTAGATCTACTAACTGGAGAACGGTGATTATACCTTAAATACGCAGACGGCATCGCCTTAATGGGCTATAACATACAGGCTACTCAAGTTGCACTTAATCAGTTGGCGCTTAGTGTCTGCAAGTATGATATTACTTTGCACCATCGAAGTGCAAAGTACTTCCAAAGATTGACAAGAGTCTGTGCCTGCGCTTACTCTTGGTGGTGAGTGGCTAGAAATAGTCGAAAAGTTTGTGTATCTGGGTAGTTGCGTGTGCTGGTGGGGGTGGTGAAATTCCTAACCGCATATCGGAAGTCAGAGTGACATGCTAAAATGGGCCACTTGTGATGCCATCGTAACGTCAGCCTGATCGTAAGAGATCTAGTTTACAACGCTCCGGTGCAAGCAGTTCCACTCTACATCTGGCCTTTCCAAACTGGGGATGTGCGACGACTGTGTTTGATCACCGTTGTCTCCGTATGATTGCTCGTACGTGGTAGCAACATCATGTAATCCTGAGGTACGACAGTATGTGTTTGAGCATGGTGGAGATAGTCATCCGATAAGTGAAGTCATTTGGAAACACCAGCTTCGGTGGCTTGGACATGTGTTACGCATATCGTCCCAACGGATTTCACACCATTTATTGTTTGTTAGCCCCTGGACTGGGTGGAAGAAGAAAACGGTTGGTCAGTGTATGACGTGGCGCGGTGTGATAAAGAACAGGTGTATCAGGTTAGCATTCGTTGGTGGATAGCGATTCCCTGGGCGGGGTCCGAGAGATCACCCAACTCAGTGGCTTGAGACGTTGTCAGATATGGCTCAGAATAGAAACAAGTGGCGGTCACGTTGTAGATCTCTTTTATCTTCTGTTGCTGTTGAGTAATAAATATTTTGGCTTAAAGGTATCTTACTGGACTACCCTTCTAATTATACAACCCTAGTTTTTCTGTCTTACCCACTTCCCATCGTTTCTATCTTCACAGTGCTATTATACTATTTTGTGCGGCACATTTCTTGATTTCCTTGCTGTAATATATCTGTTATCTGACAATAACAATAATAAATTGCATTGTTAGGTTACGCCCAGCCCCAACCAACCTTACCCCATATATACCCGAGCGCTACAATCACCACTCCTTTTGATTACGAAGTGGCGCAACGCCTGGAAAAACGTCACTTTAAGACTCCCTCAAGAATAGCTCGATCCTGCTGCTCTCAACCAAAAGGTTTACTTTATTCACAGTAGACTTATGGCACATCAAGCTAGACAAATGGCTGCCTCTTATAATACACCGGCACCACTTCAAGGAGAGTGAACTGAGCCAGAAGACTAAGACCTGTCAACAGGATAATATAAAGATGTTCTTAGCTTAAAAATCTAGTCCTGAAAACAATAGTTTAACCTACACAAGATTGCAAAACAGGCGACGTAACCCTTAAATCCGTGCGTAAACCGTGAACTTACCTCAACTGATGATGCAGCTGGCGTCTCACTCCCATCGCTCTGCAGACTGATGACGCTTGCTAACTCCAGTAAATCAGACTGGTCAACCTGAGCTGAATGTATATATAACTATTTGAGAGTAAACAGTACCTTTATTTTCTTTACTCCTTTTCTTTGGCATTTTTTGTTAAACAGTTATTCCTTTCCTCATAGAATAAGAAATTGAAATCAACCTCCGAAGCACAAACACAAAGTCACTCATTACGCACTTCCACCGCATTTAGACTTCCCGCGAATCTTAGTATACAAGGAGTACAAACAAACTGAGTCCACAGGTTAAACTTCATGTTGTAGAAACAGCGCACAGTGGCTTTATAGGCCGCATATCCATCCAAGTGGAATGTTTACTTTGTCTGGAATGGTCACAGTTGTTTTCCTGGTTCCGAAAGGAAGTCAGTAATTCACCATTAATAATTCAGCTTCCCGAAACTGTGCTGCTACCCATAGTTTGAGGAACGACGAGAAGCTCCCAGAGTACCGTCTATCTGTACCACAGGACTCTAGATACATACCCCACCTCCTTCTGAAAGCATCAGCAGAAGGGGTTGTAACGTCTTCTTCTGAAACTGAGTATCAGAGTTTGCAAACCCTAACTGCAAACGAGTGAGTACAGACCTTCATACAGCCTGAAAGCAGTTATGCCGTCCAAGTCAGGTTTCTACAGCAGACCAGTCACTTTATCAGGGCTTCCCCTTGAACCTTTTATGGGACGTAATGTACTTCAAGTATGAGGATTTGGCGGCGAATAATCCTCCGAAATCAATAGCCTTGAGTTCGACTAGTTTTAAGATTTATACTGACTTTTACAGTTCTCTTGGGCTCGCTGAACCAAAGGCACACGGTCAAACATTTACTCTGTTTGACATGCTGTTGTGTTACATTAAGAAGTTCGCAAAGTAATCCCCTAGGTAGCTAGTAGGAACGCGTCAGTTACTTGGCATGGTAGGTCAAATATACTGTCCCATTTAGCTACCCTATTCAGTTCACTCTTGAACTCACACTCTTGTATATATAACGAGCATGAATAATTAGTGACTGAACTTTATGTCCGAGAGTTTGCCTTCTAAGGACTCCTAAAAGCATATAACTGGCGCGTTTTTCTGTGAATTAGGAGGGATGTATGGTCTGTACCCTCTGGTGAGGGAAGGTGTTAGACTCCTTGATATTCGGGTGAGGTACCCTGGTACTTCAGACACTTTAGTCTCTGCAAGGCGACAACTGACAGAGGCCTCAAGCATGTTACTATATGCAACTCTTAGATCTTTATAACTGCTTGAAAGAGAGATATTTGTGTCCTCCGAACCAGTGATAACTAGACTTCGTCAATGTTCGCCATCCAACATTTCTTCTTGTTGACAGTGAATGATCCCTGAATTGTGCCGTTCGGGACTTAAGAAAGGCACTGTCAGATGACGGATGTCCTTCGGCTCCTGTGTCTTTCCTCAAATCTTGGGATCATCAGCATCCAGTGGCACGTGAGAATTAGAGCTTGCTAATACCTTGCTTATCAAAGCGAAAGAGGCAGTCGACCAAGGATGGAACCCCGAGGCACCTCAGCCAGCATCAGGGACGAACAAGATAAGACTATCTGGGTCAATTAGAGTATTCAGGCAGTTCAAACACCAACCGAATGATTTCGAGTTTTCACCACAGGTCAATGCATAGAAAGCCTTAGTTGGGGTTGCAGACAAAATCAAGGGGCAATAATGATATTCATATCCGTAGCTGCAAGGTCAATGTTGTATGCTTGTTCATGGCACTATTCCGTAATAAGCAGGAATATTTATTGTACAACAGGTTAAACTTGCCTTCTTAGGGATTCGGTGGCAAGTCGGAAAGAAATCCTGGCTGTGGTCTTGATCAAAACACCGCAGACTGTTTGAGACTGAAAAGGGAGATATCCAACGCTGCTCTTAAGTAAATCCTGATGAAGACGAGCGGCTAACATCTTTCATCTTAAGATTTACGTAGCAAAGAACAAGTGACTCATTTGCCTGATGACAAAAAAGTTAGTCATTAAGGCCAGCTAGGTGGAAGGGAGGAAAACAGACGGAGTCAATAAAAGTTTGTATGGGAAAAACTTGCTCAAATGGATTTTGAACACAGAACGTAGACTGGAAGTATGCGCGGTAAACATCTCTATACATAACACAGTCTCCACTCTTCTCTTCTAGTTAAAATGTGGCGACGAAATCCAAAAGATGTCGGATGCATCAAGCCGTTTGGCTAACGTGAAGCTGGGCAGCTGTTACCTTTGATTGTGCGAATTTTATGTTTGGGGGCATCAGCATAGATGTAGAATATCATGGCCTTGTATTAACTGACAGACGTAGGTTAGATATAAAATCGTGGTCATCATCCTCTGTGTTTTCTGCTTCCATCAGTTTTCGCTTTCCTCCGCGACCCTACACTTACATTTTCAGAAACTGCTTTCCCACGTAACCTTCATTTCCAACGTAATTTACCTCCTTCAGCCCTCATTATCCCTCATTTTATTGAAAGTGTCTCCCTCACGTCCTCACTTATCCCATGCTTTCAATTTATTCACTCTTTCTAAATTAGGAGGACGAGGTAACACGTACTGCCTCAGTCCTCCTACACCGTAGGTAGTGGTGACTGCGTGTTCCTGTCAAGTTCCTTCACTTTTTGATACTATTTCTTTAATTAATGCTTGCCCTTGTGAAAAACTCGGTGTTACGCCAGAAACCGAATACTCCCACTGGCAAACTGAGGGATATATTGGTCATGTGGTTTCAACAACTACCATCCCATGTTTCTGAAATCAAGCTCAACAACCAATGAATTTAGTAGCAAACTGAATCTGCCTGACTGAAAATCGTGCATCAAATGACTTCATTTGGGCCAATGTTTTCCATTGCTTGTGAGGTAATACAAACACAAGCAATCAAATTCTACACCAGCTCTCGATATTACAAGGTACGCCATGTCTACCTCAGTACATATTGCCAGGATTGAGTCACACATAAATGCACTTTTGAATTCAAAGGATTACTGTTGTGTATTCATCCTCGTCAAATTATATTATTCACAGCTTCGCGCCCAATATGGTGGTGAGCGCCAGCTCCTTTACCGTACGCAGTTGGCTAGAAGTGGCGGTCACAGTGGGCTGGGACACTCAGATGAAATACTCAAGGATGTTTGGCACGTGTTATTCTTGGTGTAGCCACGTCTTCAGTGGAGGAGGCCTGGGTACCACAATCTTTGGAGGTATACCAGGGTGACGGAGCAATTACAATGTAGATCCCTGTGAGGAAAATAGCATTAGGAAAATGGGTACCTACTTTATATGTCGGGTATCCTTCCGTAAAAGTTAGTCACCTTGACTGAAACGTCTGCTGTTATTTCGTCCTTAAATTTTTCGGAGCCTTGAATGCAATGTAGTCCCACGTTTCACGTCTCAGGGAGTCGTATGGTTTTACAGAAGGTACATTTAGTGTCCTAAGTGATATGCCAAGAACTCTTGACAAAGTCCAATGCTGGCAGTGTTCAACAACACAACCGAGTACGAATCTGAAATTAGCGATTGCAATATGCGACATGTGTGTAAAACCAGCGCTCTTCAAATGTACCAGAAGCATCGCACACATTGACACCGACATACTGTGAACGTTACGCAAGTGCATTCACATGATTTAGGATGAACTTCAGCGCTATGCACCTCATCCACCAAGCAAAATTATTTATGTTTCATTCCTGATTCAAGAGTTTGACTTCCAAGTGAAATCTTGCGTGAAAGTGGCAGTCGTCGACCTGGAGGAGGTAAACGTTTCAGGGCAGCAATATATTTAAAAATTGTCCTCACTACAGCAGATTCTGCATTCTTTCCGAAATGACTTCGTGAGTTCCACCTGCATGCTGCGGGCACGCTTTCATTTAGCACATCCGATCTTGACAACTTTTTCCCATTTGCTCATGAGAATTTTTCTTACGACTGTTCGTAATTTTTCCAAGGGTGCGTATAAGGTTGTTGATTGCTGCAGACCACAAACGTCTTTGCTCATCCAGTAGCAGTTAACATATCCACCTGCGTTCCTAACAATCTATGGATGGTCTTATGTTACTGATGGAACCTGGACAATTTCGATGCTTTGGGTATTACTTCCCGATGTGTTCACACGCGATCAGGCGACGTTATCGCGCTTTGACCAGTGCACCTTTTGCCTGCATACTGCGTCTTTATTCCATGTCCTGCCACCTTTCCTTTTCACCCAAGGCAGGTCAAACGTAGAAAGCCAAAAGTTTGGTGCTTACTTGCTTTTGTGTTACTTGTACAACCGATATTTCAGTCTACGTACAATCCGTGAGTCATTCTGATATTCACTATTATGCCCCAGGAGACTTCTAGGATCCCCATTACATCCCCGAATTCTTCATCAGTCTTTGTAAACAGCATGGATGCCCACGCCTAGATCATCACTGATGATGAGTTGAAATAATCAACACCTAACTCTTTATTGACAGCAGCGAAACACTAACAGCCTCTGTTTTGTTTTGTAAATGTAATCTATCCCAAATAATTCTGGATTATTCCGATACGGCTCCATATCTTAACCCTAAGAGAAAAGTAGGCCCTCGACAACACCCTGGAATCAACTTTCTACAAATGAAATTCTTTCTAATTTTTATCTCACCTCTAAGAGTCCAATATTTGAATTAGTGTTACCCCACCTCAAACAAGGCTGGCTTAAGAAATTTGAACTTATCTCCTGTGACTTCCAACTTCGCCTACCGCCGTGAATTCATTCAGTCTCTCGATTCACACTGTGTTGTTTCATCCCATGATGAGGATCGCAGTAGGGCCAGCTTCGGATCGTATTTTTCTTCAAGTGTCAGCTGTCTGCTCCGAGCACTACACATTAAAGAAGACTGTGCACAAGGGTGACCATACACCCTTCCGTAGGGTCGAAAACATACCCCTTTTGGTCCAGTGCGACTTAGGACAGTAGTGGACAGTTTCAAAATGTAATCGACCACACACCTCGAGGCCTACGGTTAGCTGCGGAAGTGGGTTTAAGTACCTCAAAGGTGTGCCTTAGGTAACCGCCACCAGACTCTTTGATCTTAGCGTGAATATAGTAAGTGTTTGCCCATCGCAAGGTA